AGTCAGTAAGTCGACCACGATTTCCATTAACAGGTCTGTATTGACAAATTGGTTTTGTTTTTTCATACATCAATTAATACTTTAGATAAGATACAATAAAGCTACACTGAGCTGCATCATTCAGCTGTTTCATCTTTCTAGAACTCGTCTGTGATGCAAAGGGCTAAATGTTAATCTAGGAGGCGACCCAGAAAAAATCCTGAGTGCGCTATGGAAATGTCATAGTGCAGGTGTGGAAATGTACTTATATTGGTAAGAAATGGAATAATAATTCTCTTGAATTCCCTTTCATCGGTTCATAAGTGTGTCTAATAAACATAAAACATTTAGACAGACCTCTGCTTAACCTAACAGCGAGTGACGACCATTTATTCGTCTAAAGATATATATATATATAAAGGCCACAGCCCACACTATGTTGAAATAGGACGGTCCTGAAGCTAGACAATAAGAGCATTACTAAAACAGATAAAACAGCTCCAGCTCATATTCGAGTAAAGGATATTTCTAATTGTATTTGTATTTTGTTTGGTGCGTCAATTCATATCTCAGTAGTTCAAGTATATAATCGCCTTGTAAAATTAGTACCATGGCGAGGAGAATTTTGTATAACGAAATAAGTTTTTCTCCAAAAATAAAGACTATGTATTATTTTCATCCATCCTGACATTCCTTTACATCCAAGATACATACTATCCTTCGAAAGGAAGACTTTTAAGGAACAAACAGATGTAGGTTCGTATTAAACAGGGAATACTTTACAATTTGTTAACCCTGTAATTTGAACTACACTGTCAACTATACTTATGTATATACACATATGTACCAAAGATTAGCATTGAACAGTGCTGAAATGGCATTAACAGCTTTTATAAATAGCCTTCACGGTAATAACATACTAGCGCTCAATATAGAAAGTGTCTGAAAATACGAACATTGATGCCGTAGAAAAACAGATAGGTGTTTAAATATATATATCCTACTCGTATTGCTGTTTCATGCCGATAATAAGTTGAGTAAAGCTAAGAATATATTGACTATCGACAGTTTAACCCGTCATGTGGAACAGCCATTTTCTATGCCTGTAATATTGACGTCACTACGCATGTTTGATGTCATTTATCGTATCTTGAATACCAATTTCAGTTAGTTTATAACATATTTCCTTCAAATGTACATTCATGATATATTGAATTCAATATATTGATTCTCATATTCATCTAAGTTACCTGATCCTCAGTGAAACAATAGCGAAATGCCCTATCTGTACTACACAAAAAGGATATACATGTATGAAGATATATATATATATATAAGTAGTTTCCAATGTACCTTCGTCCTTGTTAATGCTTAAATTGTCAACCGAATAAACAGTACAAGTATGTATGTCTATGATACAAATATGACTGTCAGCATAGATCGGAGGTTCTGGCTAATATATGGAAGAAAATAGGTTATTTCCCACACACTTTTTACCTTCCATCTAATGAATCAATGTCACATGTTGTATTATCTATCTTTCAAACATTAGCAGAATAATAGTTTATTTAAAGAATACCTACCGTGACAGGAACAAGCTCAAACCGACTTAACACAGAAAAAGTGAAAAATTTGAATAACAGACCGCACACAATAGTATATCGTATTAACTTCATCTTAGTTTTATTTATTTTAACTGGAAACAACTTTTTATCCTGTTCGGTGAGAATTCGGCGATTTTTGAATGACCTCTGTGAACTGACATAATGTTGACGATCTGGACTTTAAAATTTAGCATTGGGCGCATAACGTTTTCCCTTTATCTCAATGTGTCCAAAACCATGTGTAATCGCCATGAACTTTAACTTTTTACCAAAATCCTGAACAAAGTAACGGAAATATCTTTATGAAAATGAATATATTTTGAATTAACAAATTATTTGTTTTGGTACGTTACAAGGGTGAGCTGTACTTTCTCATTTATCTTTTAACAACATCATGGTGGTAAATAATTTTGATGCGTCTTTCGTTATTTGGGTTTTTATGACTTTGCTATTTATTCATTTTTTTTTATCTACACATACCACTAATGTGCAGGCAATGTTGTAATTGGTAAGAAAATTGAGGGAGTGAGACAGTCAGAGAGATAAAGAAACAGAGACCAAAAGAGACAGAGGAAGCTTTGAATCTGTATCTTTCTTCACCGATATCTATTCATTTGAGTTTATTTGTATTGATAAGATGGGACTTAGTAAAGTCGTTATCTTGATTAGAAGGTGTTTAAGTCATGAAGTCTGAAAAACCATATGTTCTTCAGGACGTCCTGGTTTCTAGCGAGGGCGTATCGACACTATCTTTATCAGATAAAATAATAAAGAGCAACGCTGCACGCCAGTCATTTCTTCCTTACCGGTTGCTTCATTCACTAATTATTGCAGCCCTTGCACGAAGGTAAATATTTCTCAGATGCATTGATGGTGTCCTGTACGCGAATGGAGACAATAAGCTTCTACTCTATTAATGTTTAAAAGGGGGAATTACTTTTGATGACCATCGTTTAACCATTTTGTTTTACTTCTGTTCCGTATATCTAGCGATGTATGATTTATTGCCATTGTGACCACCGATTATTTTTGGCACATAGAGAGTAGCTTCTGGTTTAATATGTTGACGGCTTGATCCTTTTTCCATCCGGTGTATGGCCATGTCAAAACTGATATGTATGTTTTCGCTCTCTGTTCTTTTTCAAGGAAAATGGATTTACGTTTCACTTTTCTTCCTGTTGTGTTTTGGATTACACAAGGTGAGGAAATATTTGTAATATTATGAAATGAATAAATATATAACAAATATACATTCAACCATTCAAATAAGAAGATTTTAAAATTTGACGGAAAATGGAAATAGGAGACCCATTTAAACAATCAACTATGCGTTTTATATTAATAACACGTGCCAGATGCCACAACTAGCTTGCTTAGTGAAACTGTTGCTACCGAACGAAGTGTCCACATTATACAAATTACAACAACAAATACTATAGACAGAGCCACATATATGAGGTACTTGAATATCAAGAACTGCTTTGTTCTTTTTAAATGTTGTTTTTGCCTACATTTGATAGCCTTAGCTTCTCCGCCGTCTTGTTTCTCCTGCTCATCCATCTCCCACGCAAGATTCTGTGATTTTTACACACAATGTGATGACGGCGAGGTCGGTATAGAAAAAGACAAGAAAATATTCTTGTTTTAGTTATGTTTGTTTTCTGTTGATGTGTTTGTTTATTTGTTTGTGTTTTATGTTTATTATGATCATCATAATGTATTTTATCAACATTCTTGATGTTTAAGGACATTAACTTAAAACGAAATTAACTTAATGTTTGCGAAGTCGTAATTCCCTAAATTATCTTTTTGCTGTAGTAAGAGAAATTAAATATTAATTTTTATCATGTAATTTCTGATTTTCTTTCTTCATTATTCCTGAGGAAAAGAAATAGTGACATAATGCACATTGGGATATCAAATATGGCAGACTATTTATTGACTGAAAATAATATTGCAATATCAACTTGAGGGTCACTGTTTAATGACTTGCATTGTGAATTCACAAAATCCTAAGTCACGCACTATAAATAAAGAACAAAACAGCATCATATTCTGTTTGAGTATAACCAATCGTTTTGTTTAATATTTAGGTTTGCTACGTACAGAAGTCTGAAAATAAGAATGGTCATTTGAAATATACGTCTGGATGTACACATAACACTGTACGTATGATTAGTTTCCTGAATGACATTAACCTTACTCAGAAACTAAATGAATTGTGTATAGTTAGTATATTTCTTGTCACGAAATGTAGATTTGGTCATAAAATACTTTCTCAGTACTCAGTACTTCACAACATTCCATTGCTAAGGATTAATAGCACTAAATGCGTACATGTATTATGTCAACATTGAGACAGTTTCAACGCCCAAAGGAACCTTTGGGGAAGAACCCAATAATAGATTTTTTTTTTCTTTTTTCAAATAATGTACAATGCAAACTTTATCGGAGGTTAAAGTCATGCTTGTATAGGTTTGAGGCATTTAAAATAATGGATCGTGCCTTTCAGTTCAACTCATTTCAGAAGGGACATTTTGTTATTATGAACCCAAATATGCCTGACAAGAGGACAACGGTATAAATACAGTCCAAATATCATTAGCTTTAACCGTTATTATGCACTTACTAATCTTATAACTTCCAGCTTCCCTGGTATTCCATCTTTTGTTTGAGATGGATGTGTTTGTTGGTTTCCGTCATCGTGATATACAGTTTAAGTGATAAGTGTCGATTCATACTCCTTTGTAATTGTACAAATCACACAAGTTAAACGCACCTTTAAATACAAAATAAAATAAGATAATTAGAGCTAAACAATGAATTAAACTGTATCAGAAACTGCTTTGTCCTTCTAGGACTTATCAATGAGGCTAACAGGCTAAATGGTAAACCTAGGAGACGACTGCGGAAAATCATAAGTGATCGAAAAAAATAACAAAATATAGATAGGGATTTGAACTAACCCTACGGAGCCCGTTAACTGACATGCTCCATACTTATTTTATTTCGTTTTTTCGAAATGTTAATTCGTTTTTTCGAAATATTATTTCGTTTTTTCGAAATAATAATTCGTTTTATCGAAATAATATTTTATTTCGTTTTTTCGAAATATTATTTCGTTTTTTCGAAATAATAATTCGTTTTTTCGAAATAATAATTCGTTTAAACGAAATAATATTTCGAAAAAAAACCGAAATATTATTTCGAAAAAACGAATTATTTTTTCGAAAAAACAAAATAAAGTAAGTATGGAGCATGTCAGTTAACGGGCTCCGTAGGATTTGAACCAACCCTGTTTTCGTAAATTTTATATATTTGATAATTTTCGAGGAACGTCAAGTATAAACCTTTATTTTTACGATCGTCTCTATCAAACTGTTATTCTCACTTGTAAAAGCTTTATCATATTTACAGACATGTGAACAAGCCATCACACGTAAAATGACTGACTTAAAGTCTTCGGATCACGAACATGAAATTTGTCGGGAGTGTTGTCATGGCAACATGTGCAACAACAAAGGATGTGGGGACGATGGTAGGCTATATTACACTCTGCTAGCAATGCTACACTGCACTACACTTTACTATGATATGTCATACTTAAATAAATGACTAATAGTGTAATTCCAAACTTCTATTCTTAACTGTGTATAGTCTATCTGAATACTCCACAATCATTCAAATAAAAACCTTAAAGAGCCAGACGTACTCCTCAACCGATATTATTATATATCAGAAAAATATTCATGATTTTCTATTTTTCTCGGGTAGCAAAGGTTCTGACTAACCCTGTAATACCGCAATTTAAAAGTAAATCGCTACCAATCTAACGTAATAAATAGTTTTAAAAAAGAATTCGAAACGACTCAGTGCTCATAAAGAACTGTAAATAAATTTGCCGTCTTCCAACATGGCAGAAAGCGTGCGAGGGAAGCGGGGATTAAAACGTGTTAAAACGTGTTTTGACGGACTCTGAGGCGAAAAGAAGGAAGATGGCGCCAGACCGTGATATATCAAAGGCAAAGATTTATATTGGCGAGAATACGGAAAGATCGACTGCTGTGAAGACCGAACTGGATTTAAAAACAAATCACGGAGCAGCGGGTATTTTGCTCGACAGGTAATACGGGACAATTAAAGCTTGAATATTTATGTTTGGTTATTTTGTGCAAGTGATTAAAGTATGTTTGTTACTTTCCGTGACATATGATGACCTGACAGCTAAAAAACTAAGACAAATCGGTGTTCTGCATGCAGCTGACGAAAAGCAAAATTCCGGGGGCCCCTTGAGAGGAAATCATAATCAAGATTTTCGAATAAGTAGTCTTGATCGAGATACCTTGAAATATCCTAAATTTCTCATTTTTATGATGTCTCCAATTTAGTAACAAAATCTGATTTTCGACGCAAATTTATCCTAAAATCCTGTGCATCATTTTTAATGCAACAGATAAGATTCATTTCGCGTTGGTCTAAATGTTCGTTACCGTATCGTAGCCCCCATTTGAGGGCCTCTTTGCAATTAATAGTAGTTTTTCTTGTTTTTGTGTCATATCTAAGCACTGAAAGATGTGATCAATACATACGTTAGATGATTTCCATACAGGATTTATAAAGTATTGATCGCATTTATCGGTAAAGTATCTTTACAAGCGATGTCGTACTACTCGCCTCTTCCTCCATTTTTGTTTTGGTTCTGGCCGCGTCTGAACGTATCACGTGACTTTTCCTCATTAATATTCATATCCTGGTGTTGATTAATGAGACTAATTCCGGCACCGATATCTCCGGTACCCTTTCAATTTCAAGTTCGAAACTTTATACAAGTCTTTATTTATATATTATCTATTTCCAGTCAATAAAATATGAAAAAATATATCTAGCGGAGTGGATCTGGCTCTTTAATATTAACAAAAGATGTTTATATCTTACAAAAGAACCGAAATAAAAATCATACAATTTTTTTTTTGTACAAAGACATATCCATTTATAACAGTATAGATATGTAGAAGCTCTCTTGTTCTCCTTACATATATGATTGTTACACATACTCAAGTTTACATCCATTAACGATCAATTTACCGTATGTATCCTTCATTTTAAGTAATGTACAAGTTTTTTTATTGATGAAGACATAATTTGATCTTGCGCATACTCTCCACATAATATCTGTGTGCCTGGTTTTTTTTCCCTCTGACATTTTATCATCAGTACAAATATGTTATAAAATGACAAAATCGTTGTAAAAAGATTTAATTCTTTAGACACATCCTCATCTCATAGGTGTACATGTAAAGCAGTGAGTTTTATTTATCTATTACTGCATTTATTGCCAACTGTTCGTAAATATCGATGTCAAATAGGAAGACATCTTGGTAGCAAGTCTTTACATTAACACTATATAGAAACATAATTATATCTGACAGGACCACCACCAAGACAGGACAGGGGACCTTATTGTTTTCAATGTGAACATCTGTCGGACCCCAGTGAATGTGATCAAGTGACAATCTGCGACACTAACGAAGTAAGGAGTGCAAATACTTTCATAGCAATCCTTAGTTATTGGTGGAAAAATAATCACTTTTCAACGCGGTTCTTTAGGCTTAACAATTTTACAACATATGCATTTCCTTAAAATTTGTTTTGTTTGTTAGGATATCGACATCGACTCGCTCCAGAACGAAAATATCTTAAAACGATTATTAACAACATATGTCACTCGTATGCTTATTTTAAACAAGGTGTGTGGAATTGAGGAGACAGAGTTTTTTCACCAAGAACATCAGTTCTCCGCGGGCTGCAGAAGAAAAACTGTAAGATAGCTTTACAATCATGAATTATTTTCTTTAAACGAATGCACAGATTTTAAGGGTAATAAACTTCATCAATATAGTTCATGAAGTGAAATATATTATAATTTTGCCAGTGAAATATGGAGAAATATCTCGTTGGCAAGAGAAAAATAGCACTTTTTTGTTACTAGTGAAAAATTACAAGAGAACACAATCATCTTATAAAACCAATAAATTATAAAGCCCGGTGCAAAAAAACAATACCAGAAACCTGGTTGTTTACTGTTAACATGACATTCAATTCTAGGCCAAACGTTCATTTTCATTAAATCAGCAAACAATGCAAGGTAAATTACTTTATCAGAGATCAAATCCAATCCCAATCCGAGTGTCTTGAATCAGAAGCTAACATTCTAGACATTACAAGAAGATTCGTGTTATCAAAAGCGACAGCTATGGGTTGCCGTATAATTTCAGCCGCGTAGAAAACTTGTCACAGGTTACACACTCTTTGAACGTTTTACAACAAATTTTGTCGTTAGTGACATGAATAAGTAACATTTTCTATGTGAAAATATAAAACAAATTTACATTGAAATTTATTTTTGTGTTTACATACTTTTAATCATGTAAAAACAAAACACAAAAAACGGACAATAATTTGTTGTGTACTGTTCAGTTCTAATGAACAAGTAGTGTAAGCGAAAAATCAAGTCGACTCCCTTGTTTTATATCTATTCTAAATATGCAAGTAACTTGGCAATTTTGGTTGTAAGTGTTTAATCAATAAAATATTTAATAGTACATTTGTTAATAACAAATATATTTCAATCATGTGTCCAATATGTTTGTATTTTTCACTCGTTCTGCCCACTCATTAAAGATATCAAAATATCAGACACTCATTTGTTGTTAATGAAGACATTATTAATTAGCATTTATACTGTGGTAAGATTGTGATATGCATTTCATATAAATATACATATTTATGATGTAAAATATGAAAACTTTCTACTACTTTACAGGAGTGTCATGAATTCCCCATATTTGGACGTGCAATAAACATATCAAAAAAATCAACCAAAATGTGCAGGAGGTGTTGTGAAACCGATCTGTGCAACCATCAATGTGGCGGTTTGTTTAAGTGTTTTCCTATTATAGTCTGTAGATCAAGTTTGATAAAACAAATTTTTATATTGCATTTCTAACTGAGTGACATATCAACTTAATAAGTGACTTATATAACGCATTTTTTATGTTTGTTTTGTTTTTACATTGTGTTTTATTAGGTCAAGCCACTCTTTTGGAAAAATCGAACTAGGAATTTGTGCAAATGAATAATTAATAGTTGACGAATTAGGAGGGGACGTAGTTTGGTTTCTTTCATATAGCTCCACTTTGTCGCAAAAAAAGATTTCCTATTCTCCAACCATACAAACGATGCACTGCGCACTGGCATAGATCTGTTAATCTTTACGCTAAATTGTCTAAAATGGCACATTTTCAAAAGGTATTTCCATCCAAATGAACATCAACTGTATAATATATAATTAACAATGCAACCGAGTAAAACTTGATTTTGATTTTTCAACAGCGTATAGAAGTTGTGATGATCACTTTAAAGTAGGACGTTTAAAGTCAGGTGTTTACACGATATCACCTGATGATGTCAACACGTTTGATGTTTACTGTGATATGGAAAATGGAGACGGAGGCTGGATTGTCCTTCAGCGCCGCTTCAATGGTTTGGTACTGTTCAATCGATCCTTTGCTGAATACGAGAACGGATTTGGAGAATTGTACGGCGAATTCTGGATAGGTCTGAAGAAAATGCATATTTTAGCACATTCTAGTCGTAAAGTTAAGTTTAACCTACAAGCGCTGAATGGGACATGGTTACCGCTGGAATACAATAGTTTTTATATCTCTAACGCCAGTCAACAATATACGCTTCATGTGTCTAATCACACCAATGGATTTTGTGCAGAGAGTTTTGAGTACAATAATGGTAAAGTATTCTCAACATACGACAGAGATTCACGTGGATGTGCTGCTTCACGTTTTGGGGGGTTCTGGTATAATGGGTGTACATATTTGAACATCAATGGGCATTTTGGGCTACTGAATGATGAAAGTGGAGTAATTGAGCATAGATTCTATAGTGGGTACGTTAATTTTCAGAAAACAATCATGATGATACAATAATATCTACTTTACAAGGTGATATCATAATTTTCTTCAGTTTGCTTTGAAATAAAATCTAACATGAAATATCGATATTTTCTAATCTTTTGGTTTAATAGCTTTATAAATACTACCAATTACTGTCAATTCTCTGAACTAGTGGAAATATTGTTTTTGGGAACCAACAACAAACATGGGTTTAGTCAGTAAATCTCGTCCATTAATTGAGATATCAATTTCAAGATACTTATGGATTTCGTTGAAACTATGCCAGAGAGTGAATGAAACGAGATTATGCAGGTACTTTCAGGTAAATCAGGGTAAATCTATTCGGTCCAACATTCTCAAAAGAATTCGCAGCTGGAAATATATATAAAAAAATGAAAACAAAGTACAGGTCGGTGTTTATCGATCTTGATGTTAATTCACACTTCAGGAGTTGCATGATTGGTATGTTATTGTGTCTGCAGATAACCCGTCCAATGTCTATAAAAGATTGTAGAGATTGGTATTTATATAATTAACATTAACAAACACTTATCACGTCGGAACTAAATCATGAATTAGTTTCCTTTACAGATAACTTATCAACATGCTGTTATAATTAGGGTAAATTGATGGTAAATATGCATGATATATGATGATTGTTTTCATCGCACTCGTTGAAAAATACATGAAAGTCTTTGAGGTGTAAACCGAAGTTTATTTAATGTCATAATCAATATATGATGACAAGAGAAAATATTCAAATCAGACCAAATATATATTCCCAATTTATTCAAGGATATGTATGAATTGGTGTGTATGTGTGCGTAAGGGTTTGAAGGTTTGAAGGTGTGTGCGAGTGTATGTGAGGGTTTGAAGGTGAATTTGTAAGTGTGTGAGAGTGAGCGAGGATGAAAGAGAGGAATTGGGAAATTTGAAAAATTGAACATTGAAACAAAATGGTACTATATTATAACGATGAACTTATTCATGTTTGTGTGTGTGTGTTTTAATTTTATTAAAGTCTTAATTTCGGCAGTTTAGACTCCTAGCATTTCTCGCAAGTTCGCGGAAGACGAGATATCTATAGGATAAGATTTAATTCGTAATTTGGCTTTATTTTAGGTGTCCTTCTCATACTTCAAACGGCCTGATATAAATTTGCACATCCTTGTCGACTTGTCGTGTAGCGTAATCACCTAGACATGGACTTTGAGCTTTGGTCTCAATCAAATATGTTCTTTACCTCAGACATATACTGCTCACAATTTGATAGGGATCACTTTTTTATTTAATGTGTAAAGGTATCTGTTTTAAGAATATATTCTACAGTTCAATTTATACATATTTCGGCATTATAAGATGATGATTTAACACACCAAGCGAAGAATAACAGTATTAATTTGCTTCAATGCTCATTGTACACAAATACCCCGAAAATCGCAAATTACGACAAAAGGGGCGAAAAATTAAGTCCTACGAAACAGTGTCGTTCAGCGAAAAATACAGTGTTAGTATCGAGTATAACGTCCTCGAGCATCAATTACGCTCTGGCAGCGGCGGCGCATGCTTCTGATCAAGTCTCGTATCCTGTTTTGGGGAATACATGTCCATTCAGCGACGAGAGCTGCTTGAAGTTCCTGAAGCGTTCTAGGTTTGATGTTTCTCGCCGAAACAGCGTTCTGAAGAATGTCCCATACGTGTTCTATAGGATTGAGATCTGGAGATCGGGCTGGCCAGTCCATTCTCTCAGTTGTTTCCCTTTCCAGATACAGTTCAGTCACGCGAGCTCTGTGTGGTCGCGCGTTATCGTCCATAAGAATGAATTCCGGACCTTTAGCACCAGCATAAGGCCTGATGTACACGTCCAGGACTTCGTTACAGTACCTCTGTGCAGTCAAACTGCCATTAAGTAACACATGAAGGTCGGTCTTGCCTTGCATGCTACTGCCACACCAAACCACAACAGATCCACCACCGTGTCGGTCATGTTGGGAAACGTTAGCGGCATGGAACCTCTCATTTGGTAGTCGCCACACCCTGACACGTCGGTCAGTGAAATTTAAGCAAAATCTAGACTCGTCTGTAAAAAGTACGGGGGACCAGTCAAGGAGGTTTCAATTCACATGATCACGAACCCAAGCAAGTCTAGCTTGAACAAGTCGTAACGTCAAAGGAATTCTCACAGCAGGTCTGCGCGACCTTAAACCAGCATCATGAAGTCTATTTCTCACAGTTTGTGTGGAGATACGAGTTCCGGTGGCATTCTGGAAGTCATTACATAGTGACGTAGCGTTGATGAACCTTTGACGTCGAGCTGCAATAACAAGATAGCGGTCTTGACACTACGAGGTAAGTTGTTCCCGACACCCATCATGTCTTCTGGAAACAGTTCCATAATTTTGGTAACGATTCCACATACGGGACACAACACTCTGGGACACGTCAAGGTCATTGGCCACCTCCCTTTGTGACCTACCAGACTGGATCATACCAATGCCCCTGTCCATATCTGAAGTGCTTAGACGTCTGCTAGCCTGCTGTCGGGGTATTTTGAAACCATTAAAATTCAAAATGTAAAGCAAAAAGCGAGATATTCTGCCACAAACGTATTGATGACAATCTGCACGTAGTAGGCTCGTGCGTGTACACGTGAAGTGTAGGCGTTACGGGTGAATGACCACATAAACACCCGATACACATAGACCTCGGTACAAATATAAACCAACAAATATAAGGAATACGTATTATTTTATTTTAAAAGAAAATTTTGCTAATTATTAGGTGTGATCCCTATTAAATTGTGAGTAGTGTATATAACGTTCTCTTGAAATTATCAGATACATGAATATTATGATATTTGTGTGCGGCTGGTGCTCCTCTCAATCGCCTCCTTGGTTTAAAATTCGGATTCTTAGCATCACTAACAATAAAGGACGAATAAGCTGTGTGATGCAATTTAATTCATTATTTGGCTCTACTGTATGTAATTCTTAATTTGTACTAAATCACACGTTGATTGTTTTCAGTACTAATAGACCAAAGTTAATTTTACCTTTTATATCTTCTTCTTGTTCGGGCCTATGGACCTTTGCACAGTGTTTTATCCGTTTTAAACCTATATCTTGAGTTTGATGTAACAATGTCATTTAACCATTTTAGATTACCGCGAGGTGTAATACAACGCCAACCGTGGATTTTTCGTTTCCTTTTATATTTCAATAATATCTACAGCATCAGTTCATTTCTTTCTTTAGAGAATAAATCATAGATCAGATATACTTTGGCTCGTTATCTGCATGTCTGTGGCATTTTCCTAGCAAAGATAGTTGGAGAAAATGAATTTGCTGACGACACAATCAAATGCCTCATTGACGACCCTGGACAACTTCGAAGCTTGTAAGGGAAATTAAAATGTATTGCTTTGATAACTGATAATTATCTTCCGTCGCTATGGCGGACACAGGTGTGACAGTAATCTCGGCCAATTGTCAAGGATTAGCAGACAGTTTTAAGCGTAAGGATGTTTTTGCATATCTTAGGGAAAAACGGTATAGTATTTATTGTTTACAAGATACACATTTTTCCCATGAAAATGAGGAATTAATTAGAAATGAATGGGGGTATGATTGTTTTTTAAACTCCTTTAGGTCAAATACAAGGGGGTTGCTGTTCTTCTGAATAACAATTTTGAGACAAAAGTTTTTAGAGAAAGGAAGGATTTAGCAGGTAATTTTTTAGCTCTGGACTTGGAAATAGAAGGCTCTCGTGTAACCTTAATTAATATATATGGCCCGAACCAAGATATCCAGACTTTTATAACAAAATATCTGAAGCTATTGAAACTTTTAACAATAACAGGATTATAGTGTGTGGTGATTTTAATTTGGTTTTAAAGCCTGAGCTTGATTATGATAAAAATTACAAGAATATAAACAACCCTAGAGCTAGAAATAAAGTGCTGGAATTATTAGAGAATTTTAATTTAATTGATATTTTTAGAGAACAACATGATGAAACTAGGAGATATACATGGAGGAAAAGTAATCCAGTTAGACAAGCTCGTTTAGATTTTTTTTCTGGTTTCAGAAAATTTACTCTCTAGTATCCATCTTTCAGGTGTAGACCCAGGATATCAAACAGACCATTCTTTTCCTAAAATCACACTGAAAATTAATGAATTTAAGAAAGGGAGGGGTTTATGGAAGTTTAATAACTCATTATTACAAGATATAGATTATTTGAATTGTATAAATAATTGTATAGATAATGTTAAGTAACAGTACTGCCTCCCAGTTTATAACCTACATAATGTTGACAATATACCTGAATATGATTTACAGTTTTCCATTAATGATCAGTTGTTTTTTGAAACTTTGTTAATGGAAATTAGAGGAACAACTATTTCCTACTCTTCTCATAAGAAAAAGCAGCAAGACCATAGAGAGAATATTCTTAAGAAGTCTATAGAATAACTAGAGAAATTAGAAGAAGTAGATTTAGTGGAATTAGAAGAAAAGAAAAAAGAATTAGAAACTATCAGATTACAAAAAATCAAGGGGAGTATGATTCGTTCTAGAGCTAGGTGGGTGGAGGAGGGGGAAAAGTCAACTAGCTACTTCTTTAATTTGGAGAACAGACATTTCACATCCAAAATAATTCCAAAATTGCATAAAGATAATGGAGATATTCTAACTAAACAGGAAGATATCTTGGAGGAAGTAAGTAATTTTTATAGGAAATTATATGATAACCCAAGTTATTCATGTGAAATAAATTTAATTCATTTTCTTTGTGACTGTGAGGTACCAAAACTGACTAAACATGACTCTGCTAATTTAGAAAGAGAAATTACTTATGAGGAAGCTGGAAAAACTTTAAAACACATGAAGAATAATAAAAGTCCAGGTTCTGATGGGTTCACAACATAATTTTTCAAATGTTTTTGGCGGTAGTTAGGGCAGTTTGTTGTTAGATCAATTAATTATGGTTATCGCAGGGGGGAATTATCTATTACACAACGGCAGGGAATCATC